CACGTCTCACTTTCAGTTTCGGACTCAGGGACATTTTGCACTCACACACAAACGTACAGCGCCAAAGCCCAAGTGAACCGCGCTCAGGCACACCTCTTCCAACCGAGCCACGGCCGGCCAAGTGAACCATGCCTGAGCCCAATTCAGAGCACACACACTTCTAAAACGATCTGGGAAATGGGCTTGGGCACGGTTCGGATAGCATAGTGTGAGTAGGCCCTGAGCTGAAAAGAAAATGAATGAATAAATAAATGAATGAACGAAGTAACTTAATTGCAGAGCACTGGGTTTACTCACTTTTTTAAAAAGGAGAAGTCAACTAATCGCTTTTTACAGCATATTTTATATTAAAATGTAAAGTTGTGTTGGAGTATGTTGAGAGTTTGTGCATCACGTTTGAATGCAGATTGTTTTGCCATTCTGTGTGCAATTACTCTCACTCATTTCACATGCAAAGATGTCAGGCAATCATAACAGTAGTGATTTGCATAAAGAACTCTTTTACAAGAGCAAAACCAGCAAAAGAGTCAGAGAGAAGATGGATTATGATCACAAAACAAAAATACTTATTTGGTGGCCAACATCATAAGTCGACCACACAAGAGCAAACTCCCCCCAATGCATGACATGAAATGCGCCTCATCGTGCAGTGTGAACTCATGTCTTACTCGGTCTCTTACTTCCTTCAGGTGGGGGAACCTTTTTTCACTCTCCAGACGTGATGGAGGGGGAACCTCAGCTTCGCTCAGGGGGTCCAGGGAGAGGGCATCCAGAAACAGGCTCTCTGGGGGCCGGGGTCCCTCACAGGGCCTGGGTCTTCCTACTGCTCCCTTCTCCTCCAGTGTGGCCTCGGAGTCGGAGTGTGAGCGAGTGTGTGCTGCAATGCAGGGGGAACGTGGAGATCTGGGAGCCTTACAAGGGCTTTCCTGAGGGGAGAAGACATGTGCTGCGCCCTCATCTGACTGAAGAGCATCTTTCTGCATCTGGGATGAAAGAGAGCAGATGTTGTGAGCTTCCCACTCTCTGCATAAGCAAGCACCTTACAAAGCATACTGTAGGTCTCAAACTCAATTCCTGGGCGGCCGCAGCTCTGCAGTTTTCATCCAAAATTAATCAAACACAGCTGATTCAACTAATTAAGGTGTTCAAGACTCTACTAGACTCTAGGGCTGTTTCTCAATTCCAAGAATGCAGAGAATGGACTCGCATACTCGTGGAGAGCGTTCCAGCCAAGTTACCTCTGAAAAACTCGAAAGAGCGAGAACACAGAACGTGTCTTATGAGAAATGAGATGTTGTACAATGGTCAATCGCCATAACGTGGTTCATGAATCGTGTTTTGAATTGGATTTGTGTATTTACGAATTGTATTTTGAAGTTACGTATTGGAATTGTGTGTTTACGAATCGTGTTTTGAATTGACGAAATGGATTTGTGTATTTACGAATTGTGTTTTGAATTTATGAAGTAAATTTGTGTATTTATGAATCGTGTTTTGAATTTACGAAGTAAATTTGTGTATTTATGAATCGTGTTTTGAATTCACAAATTGGATTTGTGTATTTACGAATCGTGTTTTGAATTTAGGAATTGGATTTGTGTATTTACGATTCGTTTTGAATTTATGATCTAATTTTGTGTATTTATGAATCGTTTTGAACTTATGAACTAATTTTGTGAATTTACAAATCGTGTTTTGAACTCATGAATTTATAAATTGGATTTGTGTATTTACAAATCGTGTTTTAAATTTACGAACTAAATTTGTGTATTTATAAATAGTGTTTTGAATTCACAAATTGGATTTGTGTATTTACGAATCGTGTTTTGAATTTAGGAATTGGATTTGTGTATTTTTTTAATAGTTTTGAATTTATGATCTAATTTTGTGTATTTACGAATCGTTTTGAATTTAGGAACTAATTTTGTGTATTTATAAATCGTGTTTTGAACTCATGAATTTATGAATTGGATTCGTGTATTTACAAATCATGTTTTGAATTTACAAATGGGATTTTTCAATCTTCTGTATTGATGAATCGTGTTTTGAACTGAATTTGTGTATTTATGAATCGTGTTTTGAATTTATGAATTGGATTTGTGTATTTACAAATCATGTTTTAAATTTACAAATTGGATTCATTTATTCACAAATCATGTTTTGAATTTACGAATTGGATTTTTGAATTTTGTGTATTTATGAATCGTGTTTTGAACTGGATTTGTGTATTTACAAATCATGTTTTGAATTTACGAACTAAATTTGTGTATTTATAAATCATGTTTAGAACTCATGAATTTATGAATTGGATTTGTGTATTTACAAATCATTTTTTAAATTTAAAAATTGGATTCTTGTATTTACAAATCATGTTTAGAATTTCGAACTAAATTTGTGTATTTATAAATCATGTTTAGAATTTACTAATTGGATTGTTGTATTTTTGAATTGTGTTTTAAATGTACGAATTGGATTTTGTAAATGTTGTGAGTTGCGTTGTGGATGTATGAATTATTTTTTGTAAATGTATTATTTTTGAGACTGATCTGGGTCCATATAATAGCCAACCGAAAAAAAAAAACATTTCTTAGGGTAATAATATTGAACTTAGCAGTTTTTAAAATTATTCATTCATTCATTTTCTTGTCGGCTTAGTCCCTTTATTAATCCGGATTCGTCACAGCGGAATGAACCGCCAACTTATCCAGCAAGTTTTTACGCAGCGGATGCCCTTCCAGCCACAACCCATCTCTGGGAAACATCCACACACACACACACACACACACACTCATACACTACGGACAATTTAGCCTACCCAATTCACCTGTACCGCATGTCTTTGGACTTTGGGGGAAACCGGAGCACCCAGAGGAAACCCACGCGAAGGCAGGGAGAACATGCAAACTCCACACAGAAACACCAACTGAGCCGAGGTTCAAACCAGCGACCCAGCGACCTTCTTGCTGTGAGGCGACAGCACTACCTACAGCGCCACAGCTTCGCCTTTTTTTAAATGATAATAATAATAATTTAATCTTTAATTGAGGGCAAAACCATTAGCCCTCATGCGAAATATTTGTTCCTTTTCAAACATTTCTCAAGAGAAATTCAATAGAGCAAGAAAAAATTCATAGTATTTCATAGTAATAATCTTTCTTCTGGTCTTATTTGTTTTATTTCGGCTAGAATAAAAGCAGTTTTACATTTTTTAAAAATCATTTTAAGGTCAATATTATTACTTACACAATATTTTTTTTCATAGTCTACAGAACAAACCACTGTTATACGATGACTTGCCTTTTTACCCGAACTTGCCTTACTAACCTAGTTAAGGCTGATTTATACTTCTGCGTCAAGCGAATGAGTATGCTCCGTCTCCGTGGACACGTAGCCCTTGTGGCCGTCGCTGACGTGCACCTCTCAAAAAATTTAACTACACGCTGCAACGACACATAGCGGAAGCTCTGTGATTGGTCGGCTTGGTAGCGCTGACAAGTGTGGGCGGGACCAAGAGCTGTGCGAACCCATTAGAGTGAGTGTTTACAAGTGTTGAGTCCCGTGAAGGAGCCCCAGATGGAAACTTTTGTTTTGTGTTTACCTTACAATTAAAGTTGTTGCACGTCAGCTGGTTCCTACCTCTGAATAAGCAAGTTTGAGCTACTTGTACATTAAGGAAGCGTTCAGAAAAAAACAAAACACCAGCAAAGAAACTCAACACAGAGGAACATTTACACCTCACTGCCATCTAGAGTTTCGGAAGTGTTATTGCAGAGCAACAGAGACAGCGCAGAAGTATAGATGCACGCCGATCACTCGACGCAGAAGTATAAACCAGGATTTAAGCCTTTAAATGTCAATTTAAGCGGAATACTAGTATCTTGAAAAATATCTAGTCAAATATGTGCTGTCATCATGGCAAAAATGAAAGATATTAGTTATTAGACATGAGTTATTAAAATTGTTGTGTTTAGAAATGTGTGGGAAAAAACATATAAGAATTCAAATTGAACAGAAGGGCTAATTATTCTGACACCAAACCTTTTCCATCTTGCGGTGCATGTCCCGTAAGCTGCGGTCCCATTCCTGCCGCTCTTTCTCAAATCGCTCCAGAAGTTCGTTGCGCTCTCGAGTCCAGCGCTTTTCTCCGTGCTGCAGTTTCCAGCGCAGTTCCAGTGCCGTGCTGTGACTGTCGGCCAGAAGGCGGCGCTGCTCTTCCCGCTCCAGCTGTAAAACATCTGAGAAATTCCATGCAAGTTTTAACCTTGCCATCAAAACAATATTGACTTTTTTTAGTTCTTTAACTATAAACAGTGGTATATACACTGTAAACTTATTTATTCTCTGTGAATTTCAATTCCTACTGCACGCGTCACGTCCATAACGCTGGAATTGCTCACCTGTAGAAACTGCACCTTCATCTGCATCTGTAGAAACCCCTCTGGCATCCTGCAGCTGGAGGAAACACAGCAGAGGAATAAATGGAGCATACATCTATTTTTATTTATTTGTTTATTTGACTTGGACGTTACAATTACAAACAGACATGGATTAACCAATAGCATTTGATTAAGTGTTTAATTCTCAACACCTGTCTACATGTCTGCACGCATCATGTTTGCAATGATATGCCACTCATACTTGCTTTGTAAAGCAGGCACAGTATACACAGATTTTATGAATGTAAAGATCAACCAAATTGCACACTACTAAATTGTGAATAACCTAAAATGTACAACCAGAAGCCACTGTGTGGAACACTGTATCCCAATATGCATTGCACCTTTAAAATGACAGCTTTTATACATTTATATGTATAATTTATCTTGTATTATTATTTTTTCCACTTAAATATATATATGTGTGTGTACGTATGTATGTATATATATATATATATATATATATATATATATATATATATATATATATATATATATATATATATATATATATATATATATATATATATATATATATATATATATATATATATATAAATAAAAAAAATAAATAAATATATATATATATATATATATATATATATATATAAATTTTTTTGTTTTTATTTGTGTGTGTGTGTGTGTGTGAGTGAGTGTGTGTGTGTATGTATAATAATATTATTATGTTAAACAAAAAGAATGAGAGAAAGTAATATTGTGATTATTATTATTATTATTCTTTATTTATTTATATATTTATATATTTATTTAATTTCACTAACTGACTCAGACATTAATGATATATAAATAAATACATGTTCATC